AAATCCTGGCCAGCAGAGGTGGTGGTGAAGGCTTCTGGGAGTTGTAGTCTAAGAACATCTGGAGGTTTTGTTAATCTTGTATATTCTGTCAGTTTTTTGTGTTATTGTTTTGTAAGTATTTCTGTCTTTTTTGTTCTTTTTTGTATTTGTCTCTGTAGGTATGTATGTTATAAAAAATAATAAAATGTTTTTTAAAAAGAACATCTGGAGGGCCAAGGTTGTACACCACTGCTCTAGTGTATTCCAAGCATGGCAGCGCAGGCGCAGACAAGACTTATTTGTGTGCATTCACAGAGGCCACAAAGAAGAAATACTACAAAGGAACCGGGAATGTTAGATCTATGAACCTTTGTAAGCTGGGTGTGGTTAAACAGGAGATGGCAAGAATAAACACTGACATCCTGGGCATCAGTGAACTAAAATGGATGGGAATGGGCGAATTCAATTCAGATGATTATCACATCTACTACTGTGGAATAGCTCTCACAGTCAACAAAAGAGTGGGAAAAGCTGTACTGGGATACAATCTCAAAAATGGAAGAATGATTTCAATACGAATCCAAGGCAGACCTTTCAACATCACAGTAACCCAAGTTTATGCACCAACTACCGATGCTGAAGAAGCCGAAATTAGCCAATTCTATGAAGACTCACATAGGAGGAATCCCAAACCGGAATTAAGATTGTCAAAAGAAATATCAACAACCTCAGATATGTAGATGATACCACTCTGATGACAGAAAGTGAGGAATTAAAGAACCTCTTAATGAGGGTGAGAAAGTACAAAAATGGTCTGAAGCTCAACATAAAAAAAAAAAAACTAGGATCATGGCCACTGGTCCCATCACCTCCTGCCAAACAGAAGGGGAAGATATGGAGGCAGTGACAGATTTTACTTTCTTGGGCTCCATGATCATCAGTCAAAGATGGATTAGCTCTATAGAGTCATTAAAACAAGACCTGGCGCTCATTGTGGCTCTGATCATTAGCAAAACTCAAGCTTAAACTGAAGAAAGTAGGAAAAACCACTGGGCTAGTCAGGTATAATCTGGTAGAATCTAAACCAAATCGGTTATGAATACACAGTGGAGGTGAAGGACAGATTTAAGGAACTAGATTTGGTGAGCAGAGTGCCTGAAGAACTATGGATGGAGGCCTGTAACATTGTATAGGAGGCAGCAACAAAAACCATCCCAAAGAAAAGGAAATGCAAGAAAGCAAAGTGAAGAAGAAAGCCAGAAGAGAGGACAGATCCTGAAGCAGAGGCTCCAATACTTTGGCCATTTCATGTGAAGACCCCCTGGAAAAAAAATATCCTGATGTTGGGAAAGTCAAGACAAGAGGAGAAGGGGACAACAGAGGATGAGATGGTTGGACAGTGTCATTCAAGCTACCAACATGAATTTGACCCATCTCCGGGAGGCAGTGAAAGACAGGAGGGCCTGGTGTGCACTGGTCCATGGGGTCACGAAGAGTCTGACATGACTTAATGACTAAACAACAACAAAGGGAAAAAGCTTGAGAACAAAGAAACATAGGGAGGGGGTTATAAAGAATATGGCTTAAATCCATCGCCTAGTCCTAACATCAGCAGGCCCAGTGAATCAAGGAGTTTAAGTGTTGGTTTGCTCTTCAGCGACAGAGTCAGTGTGTCTACTCTAGCTGGGGCTAGCAAGTGCATTTCAGTCCCATATTTGAAATTAACTGGTTGGCTGAGATAGTCTTTAGATTAGCGCACCAGACTGTAGACAGCCCAGAGAGTGATTTTTTTTAGGTAGGGGACTTCAAAATATGGAGCTCTGGTTTCCAGACATGTAACTCTTAGCAATTGAAGGAGAGGGGATGGACAGATTTTTAAAACCAGTTTTTTTAATCTCTGGATGTTGTTAGCATTTCTTCCCCCTCCAAAAAATGGTGCTCCTATTTGTGATCCAAGACAACCTTTGGAAAGGCAAGGAGGGGTCACAGCTGGATGGTATGGAGGAAAAATCCCTACTTTCCCCTGGTATCTGCTCTTCTTCGCTCATTCATTTTAATAAAATGCTGGAGAATTCAGGATTCCCTCTAATTCCTGCTTTTACCTGTCAGAAGGTTCCAGAAGAGGAGTAGGGAAATATTTGTCCTGTTGAAGACTGCACCCAGTTGGGAGTAATTTTCCTGGAACTATATGCTATTGGTAAATGAGACCACCACCTTTCTCCCACCAGAGGTTTAAGCTGATAATTTGCAGAGGACTTTCCCTCCTCTCTTCCACCACATTGGCCCAAACCTTTCCTCTCTTCTTTGGGCCACCCTTATTTGCATGAAATTCAGCTGAGGACCACATGTTGCATACACCTGCGCCAGAATAAATGGATTGTTTGAACATTTATGACTTCGTTCAGCTGTAACAAACTCCATTTTATAACCACCGTTTATTAGACAGAAGAGAAGTGTTAATATCTATGTTTATTGTTACCAAGACCCGTCAACAAAAATCACACAAATAAAAGGAATACAATGGTATGTACAAAAGCAAATTTAGTCTTTCAAAGTTAAAATAACTGAAGTAGTAAAGTGGATCAAGTTCCCAGTATCTGAATTCTTGTCCTTGTGATATAGGATAGTTTTGCAACCAATTTGGTAATAGAGAGGAATTGTGTCTGATAAACAATAAAAAATATAACATTTACTTTTTCTTCCAAGAAATCTAAAAAGGAAGAAGGGAACTAATTCCTGTATAGAATCATGATTTCAAAATACAATAGCATGTGAGATGCAGAACAGTATCACGAGTCTTCAGACATGAAGGGACAATGCTGCTTTAAGACACAGTGCGTACTGAACCTTCTCGTGATGAGGACAGAAGGCAGTCCCTTTGCATAAGACAATGAAATGAAGCTCTGTGCTGGTAAAATCTGCAATTTATTAAATAATTAGCCCTCAGGTTTCTCTAATGGATGCCAAAGTTTGGAGGACAAAAGAATTCAGATATCACTGAAACTAAATCCTGATGATCAAGTTAATATAAACTGAAGGCATGCCATGTTCTGACTCTTTCCTCAGTTAGATACAGAAATTACAACTGGGGAAAATGCCAGTAACATAAATTTGTAAAATAACAGCATTATGCTAACCAAATCAAAGGCCTAGATCTTATTGCTTCTTACTGCTTAAATATTAAGTAACTGCTTGGATTTTCAGGGGCACATCTGAAATAAGTAGGGTTATTTATTATTTATTTATTAAAATAATTTTACCTTGCCTTTCTCCTTAAAAGGACCCAAGGTGGCTTACATCATTAAAAGGACAATATTTGAAAGCTAAAAACAGTAAGTATACAAATAAAGTATATTAAAAACCGTAAATAAAATCAATCCAAAAGCACATCTAAAAGCAGCAGAGCACAACAATCCAACTTGAAAAAACCCTCTCCGACAGCCTGACACTAAGGAAAAGCCTGGCTGAAGAGCAAGGCCTTTGCCTGTTTGTGGAAAGACAGCAAAGATGGATCCAGCCTGGCTTCCTGTGGGTGGGCAGCGGAGAAGGATTTTTCCTGTATCCTCAACCAAGTGTGCCTGTGAGGGTGGTGGGACTGAGAAAGAACTCCCCTGATTATCTTAATGCCCAGACAGGCTCATAGAGGGAGATGAGGTCTTTCAGAGTTGGCCCCAAGTCTGTTTAGGGCTTTATAGATTAAAATCAGCACTTTGAATTGTGCCTTGAAATGGATCAGCAACCAGTAGAGCTGTTGTAACAGGGCAGTTTTATGTTCCCTGTAACCAGTCCTAGTTACCAATCTGGCTGTGGCATTTTGGACCTGTTGGAGTTTCCCAACACTTTCCAAAGGCAGTCCCATGTAGAGCACATTACAGCAGTCCAGCCAAGATGTATGTGTCACTATGGCCAAATCAGACCTCTCAAGAAAGGGGTGTATCTGGTACACCAGTTTTAACTGTGCAAAGGCATTCCTGGCTACCACCAAACCTGGGCATCCAGGCTTAGAGATGAATCCAAAAGCACCTCCAAGTTGCACACCTGTGTTTTCAGAGGGAGTGTAACCCCATCCAGCACAGGCTGAATTGCTATTCCTTGATCTGCCTTTTGACTGAGCAGGAGCACTTCCATCTTGTCTAGACTGGCATACACTTGAAAATCCAAGCAGAGACTTGTTAACTGCCAGCAAGAAGCCAATGTGAGTTATGCTGTTTACATTCCACAGGTATAACTACACAACTGAATTTGGGCCAAAATGCAGGAACCAGAAATCTGATTTCTAAGGCAAAATTGTATTTATCTGGGAAAAAAGCTCCTGAAAGTTCTGCTCACATGTTCCTTCCTTTTCTTCTATGTTATTTCTTGTATTTAATTTACAAAATTTCTAAGGGTTGATAAACAATATTTTTTCACATTTAAATCAGGAAACTGATTTTACCAGGATCTGATCCTTGTTTCACATTCGAGTTTGAATTCCATGATTAAGGTCTCAGTTCAGAAAATACACAAAAATTGAAGTTTAATAAATGGCAAAACTGCGTAGTGCAAGAGAATGGAAGGTAGAAGGAACACACAGAGCACACAAGCATAATACACACTCACGGTTTAATAAAACATAGTTTTCTTACATGGAAATTGTTACAGCTGAACTGGACCCTAACACCTCTGTAGTAAGAACCCTTTTTTATTCCTTGTAATTCATTTTAGCACGTTATATGTTCTTTTGAACATGGCACTGCTGTATCTTACTATTTCACAATATTACCTCAACAATGTTTAATAAAGTACAGTATGCAACATAAAAAGAAATCAACGTACTGTCAATAAAACACTGTGTAGTACCAATAAAATACTATATAACTTATTACTAAAACAATATAGTACAAACATGATAAAATACCTCACATCACAATGTACTTATTGAGTTATGCAATACTACATAGATTGACATCTCCTTCACTTGTGATTGGGAGAATACATTTATTTTTTAGCTATAATACAAATGGTATGAGAAAAATATATACCTGGACGTAAAAGTAGTTATTTCCTGACTGGAAAGTTGTAGTTGGTTTAGGAACTTTCTGATACAGCCTACATGTTCATATTCAAGGATCATTCCAGCATCCACAAGCTATGGTAGCCAAAACAAAACAAAAAAAATATGCACAAACATAAGTAGCTCCACCCCTGAATGCCAATGCTATTTGGCTATTTCCTAGGTGATTAGCAGTCAATATCTGATGGTTTGTGTGGGTTTTTCGATCTCTTTGGACATGTTCTGAAGGTTGTTCTTCCTAATGTTTTGCCAGCCTCTGTGGCCGGCATCTTCAGAGGACAGGAGTCAGAATTCTGTGCTCTGGTGCAATTTGTTTGGATAGTTGAGTAGGATAGCTGTGGGATCAGCTTTTGTCCTTTTCAGGAGATGGGTGATTGTGGTGATCAGTGTGTTTTTGTTGTGGGTGTATTGTTGTGATAAGAGGGAGAGATTATCTTGTTGAGTTTTAAACTTTCTTCATTTTTGTTGAAGCTCTGCTGGTGTTTGTGGATTTCAATAGCTTCCCTATTCAGTCTAACATAATGATTGCTGGTGACCAAGAAAAAAGAAGAAAGTTTAAAACTCAACAAAGCCTGGCTCCCAGCACTGAAAAATGCAGCCTGCAAAACATCAAGGAACTCTACCCAGCTACAAGGAGTGGTGATCAATGCACACCAAAAGACCAGCTAACGACACCCATCAATCACAGTGACAGATCATCTCTCCCTCTAATCATGACTTTGGGACAAGCTCGGTATTGATACCAAAGTTTAGGCTTTTTCTGTTTAACCACATCCCTTTTCTTCTTAGGAGAGTGGTCCCTTGTTGAGGCTGAGGGCGACTTCGACACTGAGGTCAATATCGATGCCGAAGAAGTTTTGGGTTTGGGTACCTTCGAATAAGTTTTTCAGGTGGGAATAGCAGGGGCCATTGGATGGGTCAATAGAACAAAGGGCTTGGATCGAGAAACAGGAGCAAAGCAAGACTCCATAGTTGCAGGACTGGAGGGTCTCAGGGACTTTTCCCAAAGATATGACGGAAGTCGTTGCAAGTGGAGTTTGAGAACTGGTTTGGTTAATTTCTTACACTCCAAGGCAGTCTGGTGTCTCTCACCCAGACAAAATAAGCAGCGATCATGGCTGTCAGTGAAAGGAATCTTAGTGGCACACAAAGCACATCGCTTAAATGGGCCCGAAGAGGCCATAAAAAAGGCAGGAAGGGGGGAAAAAGGGGGGGAGAATCAGAACAAAAAGATAACTCACAGGGAAATGTCCATAAATAAAAGAACCAGATTAAGTCTGTAATTCAAGAGTTATAAACGTTTAACAGTCCAAAGATCAGAATAACCTTAAGATATTAGAAATTCGCTCTAGCAATAGCTAAAGGAATCTGATTTCAACGGTGGCTAAAAGGAACTGAGATATTATGGGCAGGCGGAGCATGCGCACCACAGGGGAACGTCCTACGAATCACATGTTTTAAAGCTCTAGAACATTCTGAGAAGTCCTGCGCAGGCACAGTCTAACCCATTCATGTGCATTCACAGAGACCACGATTAAGAACCTGGCCAGTACAGTTAGTGGAAAAGGCTTCTGGGGTTTTAGTTGAAGAACATCTGTGGACCCAACAATGGGAACACTGGTCTAAAGTGACTCTTCCTACACCATTTGGTATGAAATTTATAAATGTAGAGGAGGGCATTTGGTCCCACCTATCCGTGAAATTTACAAAAATCAAGCTACTGCCCGAGATTCTATATGGTGCTGAAATATGGAACCTAACCTCCCTAGAAGTAATCCAAAATAAATTTGCTCGATTACTTCTGACAGTCCCCCCTTCAACCCTCTTAGCATTTCTTAGATTAGAACTGGTACTAATATCAATTATTAGCTTATAGACTAATGTCAATAATGACAATAATGACATTAGTCTATAAGCTAATAATTACCATATTTTTCGCTCCATAAGACGCACCTTTCCATAAGACGCACCAATTTTTTAGGAGAAGAAAACAGGAAAATATAATCTGTTTTCTTCGCTCCATAAGACGCACAGACTTTCCTCCCCCCTGTTTTGTGGGGGGAAAGTGCATCTTATGGTGCGAAAAATACGGTAATTACTAGCTGAAAGTTTTGTTCATCACCCAGTCAGAATTTTTAATATCATATGGGGAGATGAATTTTAGATCATGGAAACTTTTTGCACTGCAACTAGTTGCTAAACTTGGATTCTCTGAAGAGTATGTGAGACACCTTGGCCTATCTGCTGCAAAACATTTACTGAAACAGAGATTGTCCGACCACTGGGTTCAAACCAATTTAGGTTTGTTAGGCACCCTAAAAATGGCCCCTTTATATAAGAACATTTAACCCTTGCCTTTAAATCTTCCATCTTATTTTACTGATTTAATGAGTTTTGATTATAGAAAAGATTTTACTCGGGCACATTTTGATATATTGCCACTAGTCAGTTTATTAGGACGCTAGACACAAATTCCATATCCTGAGTTTGCTCTTGTGACCAAAAATCAGTGGATTTTGGCACATGTAGTCCTCTATTGTCCACTATTAGAGACCTATCGTGTTTCTCAACCATGTTTTACAAAAACATTCTAGTAATTCTGATCAAGAAAAGCTTTAGATCCTACTTTCCGACAGACAAATTTATCATTTTCTGAATGGCATGGTTGATCTCTACATTGTTAAAAATGAAATCTGTATCCCCTGCCTGTATCAATTAAGTCAATAAGTAATTGTGTCTTTGGGATTATTTCCCTCGTGATAAGTGCTTGCTGCTGGCAATGGTTAATGCCTTCCATCTGCCTTTGCCCTCTCGTTAGATGTTGAAACTTTGTGCCATAATAAAATCAACTTGATTTGATTCTAAATGGCTTTTAATATTGTATTATATTGTAATGGGCTTTATTATGTTGTCTATATTGTTTTAACTCATGTATGTTGCAATGGCCTGTGTGCCAAGCAATAAACTTATTTTGCTTGCTTGCTATAAAGGTAAATGAGAACACAGATCATGCGACTGATGAGACAATGGGCAATATCCTTTTCCCATAGTTATACTAACGTAAACTGGATATGGGTATTACAAATATGCAATTTAAATTAACTGAAAGTTTCTTATTCCCCCATTTCAGATTCTGAGGCTCCCTAGGCCCCGAGGAAGCCTTTGGGAGCTTCAAGACCTGAGTGCGGAAGAGCCTTTAAAAGTCAAGAGTCACCTTCAGTACTCCTGATTCCAGTGGTGGAGTTCTGGTGACAATAATAATTTAAATTGATTGAAAATTTTCTATCCCCTCATTACAGATTCCAAAGTTCCCCAGAGCTCCCTCCCCCCCTTTTTTTGCCCTGCGGAAGCCTCTGGAAGCCTTGGGTATGGGGGAACCTTTAGTACTAAGTAAAATCCTCACCAGGTATCCACTGCTGGAACTGGGACTCCTGGCAGTGATCTTTGACTATCAAAAGCTCCTCTACCCCCGGACCCAAGGCTACCAAAGTTTCCCTCAGGGCAAAAGGGAGCCCTAGGGAACCATGGAATCTATATGAGGGGATAGGAAACTATCTATTAATTTCATTTAATTATTTCTGACGCCCTGATCATACTAACTCCAGTGTAACTGTGCCAACAGGATTTAGCCCAATATATAGCAGGAAAACAAAACAACAAAAAAGGCAGAATCATGAATAAAACAACACATTAAGATGAAATCAAACAATCCAAGACATACCTTACAAGAAACGTCAATTAAGTCAGGTACTAGCTCTTTTAAATTCATGGAAGCCACTTGTTCAAACGTTCGGAGAAGAATGTCTACTGTTGGCTAAATAAAAATAATAGGAATTAGAGGCACAATAAGAGCTAAATACATTTAATGAATTTGTTAACAAAATGCAAGATGAAATTTCAGTCTGAAATGCATTAATTACATTAATCATCCTAAGCCACTTCTGAATAGCTAGGATCTGATGTCCATGCAACATCACTTGAGAAATCTCTAGCATCAGTCAGTACGGTTTCTGGTATGAAAAGCAATGCCTTTCCAATTCTACATGATTTTCAGATGCCGCTAATAATCTGTTTTAGTAACTGAGTCATATAAAAGCCATCATAGCAGCAGGTTCATTGAGATGCTAATGGTAGTGGGGAATACCTATTTGTGCACATGCACAATGGAACCTTTAATAAATCATTTCTTGAAATGAATAAAGTCAATACAATAGCCAAACTCCACTGGAGCCCAGCCAATCCTACGTCTACAGTTTTCACAACTTTAACACACACAGAAGACAAAGCAAGGTAATCGTTAACTCTAAATATTTATTTATTAACTCTAAAACAGATAGATCAAGTAATAATGATAAAGCTAAGTCATTACTTAAAACATTTTTAAGATCTTTATAAACACACCAGTTCTGGGACAAATGGAGGTTATTTGATAAAGACAATAAGATACACTTTCTCCTGTTACTTACACAATTATTACTCTAGAATAGACCTTTCTGGTATCTCCCCACAGATAACAGTGAAGACTTGAAAGAACAGCATTAAACCAATGGTTTATGCAGACCATGCACCAGTGGTATTAACATGGGAGACTGGGGAAAGTACTTTTAATCAGTGGAGGTTTGGAAATTGGTTGGTTGTAAGAGAAGAGAGGCAGGAATATATAGGAAGGAATACCAATGAGATTTTTTTTTAAAAAAAAATGTTATTCTGAAGTTAGCTGGCTAGTAATATGGGATACTTCTATAAGAATCAAAAAATCCTCTAAATTAAAACAACAATAGAAGAACAGGAACTGGTTACTCATATTTAATAGCAGAAAACACTGCAGAAGACAACATGAAAATTAGATGTTACAGCAAATGTAGAACTTTTAAAGATGCAGCTGAAGTGCAAAATATCTTATAAACCAGAGGGAATGAAAAATGCTAGAAGACACATTATGAGTCTGGTAGTAACTCTTAAAAATCTTTCATAAGAACCTTGATGAAAGAATGAAGGGGAAAAATCTAATTATATTTCTGTGAATCAAAAAAGACTAACATTAACAGAAATCATAATGGAAAAGTTTAAAATATTGTATGGAGAATTATATTTGTCAGAACAACCTTGAGAAGAAGTCACTAGTGCATTTCTTCAGGAAATTAATGTCCCAAAAAATCACATACTAAGAGAGGGACTTGTTTGCAGCTCCTTTCTCCATTAGAAAAACTCTATTAATAAAATGAAACGTAATAAACTTCTGGGGTCAAATGGCCTAACAGTTGGAATGTTTAGAACTTTCTCAACTAAAATTAAGTCTGGCAACAGTAATTAATGAAACTGACCCTTTACAACCCCTACTACATGGAAAGAAGCTAAAATAACCATAATACCCAAACCAAGAAAAAATACAATCAGTTTCTTATACTTATCTTCCCTTAGCAATGGCTTTAAAATTTAGTTATCTATCATAGCTTTAAGACTGAATAAGATTACAGCTAAATAAATACATTTGGATCAGAAAGGATATGAGCATAAAAGGAAACTATCATTAAGTATCAAAACATTAGCAAAGACACTATGACTGAAATCTTGTTGAGTTACAGTCATAAACATAATATGAAAGGGCAGGAGGGAGCAGGGCGAGCAGCGAGAGCAGCAGGACATCTCGGGGCTCCGATAAAACATTGCTGCATACAGTGGACTGAGATCCCCTCGAAGAGACGAGGGAAGGGTATAGGAAAACACCTCCTGTGTCCGCAGGGATTGAGGAAGCAAAGGGGAACGGACTGCAATCTGTCCCTTGGGTGATTTCTCTCCCTAGACAGAAGATCCAACTGTCAACATTTTGGGTAAATTAGCTGCATAGTTCGCCCAGATCGAGAGATATTCACCCTTGGAAGGATAATCAGTATCAAAGGGGAAAGTGAGTAATAAAGTCTAGCTCTTTCTACAAACAGATCCCTTCTGAGGAAGAAAGGAAGAAAAGGAGGATAAGAGGCAGCATAGGATCGTGTGTTTTGGGTGGTTATTTCAGAGAAACCAGGAGAGATTTAGGAAGGAGCTGGTTAGGCAGTGTGAATGAATACGAAAAGAATCAAAGAACTCATTTGTAACAACTCAGTTGTAACATCCCCAGAGGGGGAAGAGGCAGGGGCGGAAACTCTTGAAAAGCCTCTCAACTTTAACCCTCTAAGTCCTAGAGAAGAAGAATAACACTGAAATGACACTGAAGCAGCCTTGTGTACTCTCCAAAGAACCACTGTAAATCAATTACGACAAGTGAAATTGTGGAGGTATGGAAAAAACAGAAAAATGGTAAAGCCCCTGGACTAGATGGTCTCTTAGTCAAATATTATAAAGTATCGGAAGAAACCATAACTCCACATTTTAAAGAGTTAATGGATTGCATTGAAAGTAAAGGAAAAATCCCGGATTCATGGAAAGAAGTGCATATCTCCCTAATACATAAAGCAGGGGCGGAAAGGAAACAAATTAAGAACTATAGACCACTCTCTCTTTTGAATGTTGATTACAAGATATATGCAACCATCTGGGCAACTAGAATAAAGAAGGTACCTATGGAAATGACACATAAGGATCAAACAGGCTTAATCCCCAAATGGAAACTAATGCCAAATATAAGATCAATTAATAGACATTTTGGAATATTATGAAACACATCCAGAAAAACAAATGATGCTGATCTTCCTAGACATGGAAAAAGCCTTCGATAACATGAACTGGGAGTTTATGTTATTACAAGTAAAGAAGATGGGGGCAGAAGGAAATTTTTTTCAAGCAATTATACCAATATATACAAAACAGAAGGCTAAGATCAAAGTCAATGGTCAAATAACTGAAGATATCCAAATCGAATAAGGCATGAGGCAGGGCTGCCCTCTATCTCCGCTATTTATTCTAACCCAAGACATTCTGAACAGACAAATAAGAGGAAATACTGGAATTAGTGGCCTTAGAATCAGGGGAGAAGACTATAAGTTACAAGTTTATGCTGACCACTTAGCACTGATACTAGAAAATCCACTAGACAGTATGGAAGAACTATTGGGAACAATAGAAGAGTTTGGAGATGTTGCAGGACTTAAAATAAGCTACCAAAAATGAAATTTCTGACTAAAAAATACGAATAGAGAGGCTGTGGAAAAATTAATAATGAGTAATAGTTTTGAGGAAGTACAGAAGGTTAACTATTTAGGAGTAACTATTACAAAAAAGACAAGTAATTTGATGAAAGAAAATTATCTTTCAATCCAGAAATACAGAGAGATTTGGAACATTGGAATAAGCTGCAAATCTCAATGATGGGATGAATCTCAATAATAAAGACGAACATTTTACCAAAATTGCTATTTTTGTTTCAAAAATTACCAATTCTGTTAAATTATAAATACTTTAAGGACCTGGACAACCTGATCTCAAAATTTGTCTCGAAAGCCAAACAGCCAAGAATAAAACTTAGAGTACTACAAGACTTAAAAAGAGAGAGGATGACTAGGACTACTGAATTGGCTATTAAATTACAACACCTGCACTACGGTTTGGATAAAAGAGAGCACTACAAGACTTAAAAAGAGAGAGGATGATAGGACTACTGAATTGGCTATTAAATTACAACACCTGCACTACGGTTTGGATAAAAGAATGGATAACATTAGAAAATCAAAGACTATTGAAATTGGAAGGTCATGATTTAAGGATGAGTTGGCACGCATATGTATGGTATGGAAAATTCAAAGAAGTTACCTAATTGTAAGTCTGGTTCTTCGAACAGTCCTCTGTGAATTCACACTCATGGGTATTCTGCGGCTGAGCAGGAAAAGTCGGAGGCTTCTATAGCTTTAAGAGCTCTGTGCTGGGGGACCTCCCACGGAGATTACATCACCACCCCGGCACAGAGCATCGATGTTAGTTGTAGGATTCGGGAAGAATGTGGGCAGGACTATCAGTTGGTACAGATGGAAGGAAGTCGCAACCTTCGGGAGAAAGGAGACATCTGGAAAAAGGGTGACCTTGTCTGGATGAAACTGTATGAAAGGCTGGTCTGCCCGTAGGGCCGTAAGCTCACTTGCCCTTCTAGCTGAAGTGACTGCCAGAAGGAAAGCTGTCTTGAAGGTGAGTAACCGCAGGGACGCAGTAGCCAGCGGTTCAAAGGGAGGAGACATCAACTTGCACAGAACAAGCTGAAGTGACCACTGGGGAGTGGGCGGCCTGTAAGCTGGACGCATGTTGCGAAGACCCTTAAGGAATCTCTTCAGTACTGGGTGCTGAAACAGCCGTGCTGCATCCGAGAGGGGAGGCTGATATGCAACAATTGCAGTGATGTAGACTTTCAGAGTGGAATGAGATAAGCCATGGTGAAAGAGAACAAGGAGATATTGCAGTAGTGTGTCAAGAGTGGTAGGGCATGAAGGTACACCGTGATCTACTGCAAAGTCACAGAAGGATGTCCATTTCCGAGCATAGGTAGCGAGAGTAGAGGGTCGGCAAGCCTGGTTCAACACATACTCTATCGAAGGTCCAGTCTCCAGGCCGTAAGATGAAGAGAGTCCAGGTCTGGATGGAAGGTCCTGCCCTCGTGGAGGGATAGTAGGTGTGGAAGATTGGGGAGTCGGAAGTGATCTGACGCCATCTGTAACAAAGGAGCGAACTGGGGTTGTCATGGCCACCAAGGAGTGATGAAAATCACGTTGGCCCAATCCTGACAGATTTTGATTACTGTTTTCTGTATCAGGGGGATCGGAGGGAACGCGTATGAGACCGGTCGTCCATGACACCATGAACACATCTCCTTCCAAGTGGGATCCCATCCTC